AATAATGCAAGTCCTGGGGTTATGGAAATTCCACTTGAACCAGTAAATTTTTTTATGATAAAATACTAATAAGAATTTAATTTTTTCCCCTAAAAAATATGAAACATAAGTAAATTTGCCATTTCTAATGCTTTTATTGCACAATGAACATGAATAAATACAATATCATGTAAATACATAACACAAAAACAAATATTCAAGAAACAATTTTTATTTTCTTTCAGTGAACATAAACAATAAAAAAACAGAAGATATATTATTGTAGTGATTATTGTATTTTTTTTTATTGGTCCATTTATGCAACCTTGTTTATGGTAGAAGTTCTATTGAATTCAAGATCTGATGATAGCATACAAGATGGCATAACATAGCCTGAATGATTTTTTCTGATTGTGTTGTAGCATGCCTAAAAATTAAGAAAAAATGTTTTTTTTAATAATACAGGCAAAATTATATTAAATGGCCATCACGTTTATGATATTTTGTGCATAAGTTGAGGATGGCCTGAGTGATAACGTAATCCTTTTTATTGTGGTGCTTAATGTGTTAAATGAGATACTGCAAAATGTGGGTTATAATTTTCAGAAATCTAAAAAAGTACTAATTTTTATACCTAAATTATAAGAAAAAGTTAGAGATACTAACTGTTTTATATGTTAAAAAATGAAAATAACAACAAGGAAAAACTTAATAGACCATTTTTTATGCTATCCAAAGTCCATTTTTATTCATATGTATGCAATGTTCTTTTATAACTTTTAGGAAATTATAAGTTTATTTTTAATTAACATGCTTAGGTCTGTTTTACAATAGAAAATTTAGCAGTGATATTATTACAGAACAAGTTTATCTTTGTTGTTGTTTATTAATTTTGTAACTATATATAAAAATTGCATTAACAAAAGAACTAAATATGAATATCATAATACTGTAAGTAGTATCAATTATATAAATATAGAAAGAATACATAAATTTTTTAAATTTTATATTGAATTTTTTATTTAAAAATTAACATTTTATAACATCTTTGTATACAATGAAAATGGGATATTTATGCAAATTTTATTGGATTCATTTATGTTAGTATGAGAAAAGATGTATTTACATTGAATTAAATAAATCATTTTAAGTAAAAAAATAAGTTTACGTGGTTAACGATTATTTAATATTAATATATTAAAATAAAGTATTTGTGTTTTTTAATGAACTGCTGATGGTGTGAACAACGAAAAAATGACTGAAACAAAGAATTATTCTTCGTAAAAAGTTGTATTTATTTTTAATATATTAATAAATAAATTATTTGCAAAATCTTTATATAAATTAAAGTTACTACTTTTAATAAACTCTAAAAGTATTCTTACTTTTTATTCATTTTATTCCAATTGAGTTGCTTCAGAAATATGAACTTGTTTGCATTAAAATTGTAGTCTTTCCAAACTTTTCAGGAAAACATTTCAGAGTTCACTAATCAGCCTATTTCTATTTAAGTAAATGTTTCTGTATAATTTGGCTAATCTATGTACTTGCATTCTCAATACATATATTTCTGTTTCAGAAAAATGTTATGTGTAAATATAAAACTGGTTTCGTTGTTCACAGTATGCCTATTTTAAATTTGATTAATAACAGACTATAAAATACAATAGAACTTGATTAAAAAGTTTTTAATGGCCAATTTAAAAAATTTATTAAGCAGAAATATTATTAATTAATATAGTTTTTCTTTTCAATAATCCATATTTATTTAACAATGTTCCACTACATTACATTAATTAGGCTTATCAGTATTTATTCAGACATTTGCTTAATTTAGCCTGCTTTATTCATTGTTGTGTAAAAGAAAAATATGTTTTATGATTCCTACAAACAAAGCCACAGATGTACAGTACAAATACTGTACTAAAATCTGTTGGACTTTTAGTGTCACCCATGTGTTGAATAGTGCTTGTCAGAACTTACTGTTTGTTGCAAGCATTCTTGCAAGAAACTGTATAAGAAAATTGTAATCTGTGTCAAAGTTACCCAAAGATGTGTATACAATAGTATCCATGCAATTTTGTTCATGTTCTAAAGTAATTTTTTTCTTCATATGCAATTATATGTATAAAATCAACTATCCATAAATTAAGTAATGTAGATAAGGGGGTAGGTATGCTGGTAATCATTACAATATGTTACAAGGGAGTGGAAGTATTTACAATAATGCTAGTGTCTTGAAATTGCTGGTGTTATTTGTTAAATGTATAAGGATTAAGCTCCAGTAGTATTTTTTCTATCTTAATATTAACAATCAAATGATTTCTAACTGATTTTTGTTGATTCTTGTCCAATTAACATTTGAAAGTTGAAAATATCTTTTTGATTGACTCTCAGGTTTCAACAGTGAAACTTTAAGAGGTTGATTCAGGATATGCATTGTATAATTTTGGAGGTTGGTATGTGCAACAGTATTGTATGTCCCCACTTTAGTTGTATTATTTTATATTCTCATATTTGGAAAGCTGATAAATTTATGGTTATTTCTCTTATTTCCCTATTTTTCTATAATGATTCTCATTTAGAAGGTAACTGACAACTTTTTGTTAGTTCTTTACAGCAAGTAAGAGCTAAGCAATTGATTCTTGTTGGATATTACTGACATTAAATTTTTTTTCTATTTAATGCTTTTAGTTTAATTTTAGTATATATATTTATTGAATATTATTTTATAAATAAATTAGAAGTGAAATGATGGTTGAAAATATCATTTGGTGGCTATTTTGTATTTTCAACACTTAATGCACTTCAGATGGTTTTGTCTCAAATAGCCCATTTGTTTAGTTTTGCTTATTTTATAATTACAAGTGCAATGACCTGTTAATATAAGTAAAATGAAAAAATAAATGAGAAAAAATAGAATGTTTGAGACTTCTAAGTTAAGTGATAGTAAATGTGCTTTTAGAGGTACAGGATATAGGGTGGTGTTGATTATATGAAAATTTTACTTTTGTTCTAGCAATGTTTTACATAGTACTACATATATACCACTCCAGATTATACACAGAAAATTGCATCTATAGTATCATTTTATTTAGTTTTGTAAATTTTTAGTTTTCAAACTGTGTAGTTTTTTAAGTAGTATTCAAAAAGTGGAGTTTATTACTGATGTATCAGTAGGGTATATAATTTAATACTTTCATTTATAGTAGTAAATGCATTCAGATACTGTATGTAACATCTTAATTGAAAAATAAATTCTAACATTTTGAAAACTATGATGCACGTTCACTGTTTAAATCAACAATATCAACATTTTTTAAAAAATTGTAACCTATAACTATTAGGACCAATGTGGAGCAAACCAAATAGAAACTTAGTTACTACATTGTGGCCATGGAATAATACTTTTGTAATGCAAAAGAATCCAGTAAATCTAATTTATCTATAGTAATGGAAATAAACTGTATGGAAAACTTAAAATTTTATTTTTCAAATCAGTGCTTGTAGTCAAAGTTTCAAATTCTGAATATCAACAAGTAAAAAGTTGCAAAATATTGTTCTAAATGATGATATAGAAGTGCTTGCAATTTTTTCTAATAAATAAAAAACAACAGAACTATTTACATTTTTTTAAATCTGTTTTAGAAGAGAATACAAGCAATTCTATTGTTTGTAGATATTGCTTGCATAACCATAACTATTAAATAATAAATAAATAGTTCACATTATTACATTGTATCCATAAGTTTTGTACATAACAAAAATTTGTAATCTAAATTGATATATATCCAGAACTAGGAATATTCAAGTAATATAGGCAATGCATCTGTGTGTTGAATGGGGAATTGTGGATTTGAATTCTCATTACAAATTGTAATTTTTCAGGACTTTTCTAAATTTACTTAGAATTATTCTAAATTATCTGATTATTAAAGGTATTTATAGTCTCAAATTTATAGTTTCAAATTATTTTAATAAAATAATTTAATAGTTGATAAAGTAAATCATTATTAAATTTGATATCAAAATTAAATTATTTGGTACAGTTTTTATATATCACATTTGTCAGTTATTATCAGAATTAATTCATAATTTATAAATGAATTGCATTGATGATTATTTCAGTAATACTAATATTTATTTCTGAATGTTAATTTTCCTTAGCCAGTGTGTCCAGAAATAAATTAATTCAAGCATTATTAAAGTTTAATTTTATCATTATCTTTATTACAAAAAAATCTCCAAGACTTGACAAATGTGTGATGTGCATATCTTAAGAGTAAAATATGCATATTAAATTCTACATAATGATACATTGTTTTTATTGTTTAAATTGTGAAATATGTTTTAGATTTTTTTTCTGTGTTATACAAATGTATAACACAGAAAAAAAATTGTAAATTTACAAATTTGTAAATATTGTAAATTTGAAATAAATATTCTTTCTTAATAAATATAAAGGGATAAGAGTAATACTGTTTTTTTAAATAGTATTTAAAACATGAATAAATTTCCCATTTTCACTTAAAATATTTTTAAAATTCAAGTATTTGTGATATTAAAGATTTTCCTTATCTTTATTTCTTAATATTTTTACAGTCATTTAAAAACATCATAATTTTTTTCTATACACATTTTAATGTACATAATAATCCACAGTCAAAATATTCAATTAGTTAAATACAAAAATATTATATATAAATTTAGCTCATTAGTTTGAAAATTATGGCATACATCTAGAGATCTATATGTTCTCTTCTGTTCTCAGTGGCGACGGCAGTCATCAATCTGTCAATGGAGAAGATCGTAATCCAATTGCTATGGCCCGTGCTGTCACAGTACACACGGATACTAACAAAGTTATGTACTTTGCATGATGTGGTCCATGATCTTTGGAGAAACATCTGAATGAGCATTTATTCAAATGCTATGATACACTACTATGCTAGACAAGTTAGACTGTGATGCCCATGTATTTTGTGTTATACCTGGAAGCTTATCATATTTCCTTCCCACAGTGGTGATGGTAGCCATCAATCCAGCAACGGAGATGATCGCACAGTCAGTGCCATGACGAGAGCAGTTACAGTTCATCCAGAGAACAACAAAGTTATGTACTTCACTTGATCCTTGTTACTTGTAAGTTGGAAGTTACAGACTGTGATTTGCAGTGAAATATTGTTATTTTAGTGTACCCACATGGTGTATATGCTTGTGGTGCTGGACAATGTCAACCAAAAATATCGAGGGTAGGATTTGAGCATTCCTCATAGACTGTTGTTGCTTCCACTGTAAAGTATCTTAAGTAATGTTTGAAAGCCGTTATTTATAATTGTGCTTCACGGTGTTTTATATAGTTTATTGACAAAATTGGAGCTCCTTAAAGCAGTGGTCAGTTTAGTCTTCCTGTGCTGCAACTATTCACATGCATTAGACAAGTGGTAAGCAGCTAGCATATGCTTTGGAGGCAGTTAGCTTCCAAAGCATATTATGTACATCGTGTACAGTAATTGATAACTATCTCATCTGCATAATGTGATTTTAGCACCTAGACTATCTTTAAAAATTTTTTACACTTACCCATGATAGTTGTTTTATAACTGTCTGATGGATATTATAAATATCACCTCATGTGTTCAGAGGGATGACAGAGTTGCTTGACATAAGAATTGTATGAGATGCAATAACTTTAACAATAGGAAAAAAATAAATTGTCCACATGAAATTAGTATCATATACAGGACTTTTTAAATTAGAATGCTTTATATTTTTAGATAAAGTAAAAAGAAAAATTAACAATGCTGACTTAAAAGTAATGAATTTTGAAATAAATTACTACTACTTCTTATTTAAGGATTAGTGTTTCACAATTGATTTCATTATACATTGTGGTCCTGTTTATGATATTATTAACATTAGGAGTACCTGATTTTATTTATATAAAATGCTGCTTGATAGCAATAGATCTGTGAGTACAATATATTATTCTATAAGGTATTATATTTATGTTTTCCTCTTTCTCTCTCTCTCTTTCTAAAAGACTTTTGGGATCAAATGTGATTTTTCTTTTTATACTCAAAATATTTTAGAGCCAAATAAGATGGTGACAATGATTATACTTTGACAATGCAAACATTGTAACTAGTCATTTGGCATTACTGACTTTGGATTAAGTTAAGTGTTGCCAAAATCTTTATTGCAAATTAAGACAATGGTGAAATTCCAATAAATGAATTGGGGAAGTGGTCTTATTTTGTAACGCACCTTTACAGAAGTGTATACAAAATTAATTTTTATTCAATGAATTGTGTTAAATTTAGTATCATGTTTAAAAATAATTTTTATTCGTAATATGAATAAACTTCTTTTTAATATTTTTTTAATTTTCAGAATTAAATTCCTTTTCATAGGTTATTTAAAGTTGTGATGAGATCCTATAGAGGCCAAGGATCCCATTATTATGATTAATTAATTAATAATTTTTTATTACCACCATTATTATTATCACCATTCTCGTTATTACCATTATTTTTAAGCACGTGACATTGTCAAGCTAAACAATATGCATCTATAGTAATTTGAAATTGTTATAGTTAATAAAAATCCTTTTGAATTATACTCATGGAAATACTATCCTAACAATAAATAAGTTAATCTGGATCAGTGATGTCCTTGTTTGTTTTTGTTTTATTGCAAATTCCACATACAATGCTATAAAAATGTGCTTTCATCATACTTCTTATGCATTCTAAAACCATAGTTATTCTCCTAATGAAATTAATTATTAGATATTGTACAGTTCAAGAGTTTAAGGATGTTTTTTCCTTTTGTACTTTGTATAGTGAGATATCAATTACTGTCTTGTTTTTCATAGATTCCACACATATTTGTTTATAATAAAGACAAATAAACTAAATTGTTTAAAATAAGTGGCTTGTAGGAAAATTGATAGGTTTACTCCTATTCTACAAGTTAAGAGATGATTTAATATTTTGCCGGTAATCTGGGTGAAATTTAATTTTTGCTTATGGCATTAATTTTTCAAAGAAAATTTTTAAAAGTTAATACAATTAAATCATTAGTAAAAGTTATATTTGATTTAAAATCTTTTTTAAGAATCACTAACATCCTTTTTTTGTGTGATGTAGTATTGAATTTTCCACTGAATTCTTAGATGAAGAAAATGAGTTGAATGGCAATTATTTTCATTTAAAAAATATATGCTATTTGATTCTTTCCTGTTATGGAGTTGTCTTAGGGCTTAAAAGTTAATCTATTTATAATATTTATCAAGCTTGAAATGAATGTATAAATTTATGGCATTTTTTTGCCAGGAGCTAATAAGAGGATTCCAATTTGTCAATTCTGTAGTCTTCAGAATTGTTTAAATGTATGTTTATTTATTTTTTCATTTATTCATTTTGAAAACACCAAAATCATTTATGATTTTGTTTATTAATTAATGTATATTTTGTCTATCATTTAAATGTCCCTTAATAATAATTTAAGAAGAGTGTTTCTTTAAAGTATGTTCAGACTTTGAAATATTATTTTGAAAAAATTTTCTAGACTACTTGAATAACTTAAATTCAGATTAATAAATGCTGTTTATCTGCAGTTTGCACTGTGGTGGTTTTCCTCCAACTGATATAATAATTAACTATATAGTTATGCTTTTAGTTAGAAAATTATAGATTCTAGATTCAAATATATAATTGAAATTTGATTTTGTTAAAAAATCAAATTTCACGTATTATATATTTGAAAAGTTAAAAAAGTTATTAATTTAAGATTTTTATTGTTTGTGCAAAGGTTTTGAGCTAGTTGTTTTACTGTAGATAAACTGAATAGAAATGATTGCAGATTCTTATATCTTATTTAACTCAAGGAAAATTACTGTATATTCCGGCTTATAAGACAACTTTTTAACCCAGGAAAATCTTCTCAAAAGTTGGGGGTTGTCTTATAGGGCGGGTGCTGCAGTCAGCCGGGACGCCCAGGGTATGGATAGAGATAGAGCGGCACTGTGCCCAGAAAAACACACATCTTTCACCCGTCCAGCCCACCTTTATATGTATCCTATTACCGTACCTCTTTCTCTGCCTCTCAGATCTTGCTCTTGAGGACTGCAGTGAAGCGGCACAGGCGCACATGTGTGACATCTGAGAGGCAGAGAAGGAGGTATGGTAATAGGATACAGGGGCAGGCTGGTATAAAAATTTCCAACAGTCAAGTACAGGTAACCCCCGTATAACACAGTAGTTATGTTCCAAAAAATTGTCATGTTATGCGAAACAAAGAACTAGTACGAAAAGGAGGGTTAGGTTCCAAAAATTAAAAAACATGCTAGTATATTTTCATAATTAAGATAAATATCTTTATTAACATTTTCTTAAGTGATACATATTAATATAAATTAAACAATGTTTTCTTTGTCATCACTAAAAGCACTATTAACTGAGAGCGTTTTATTTTTGGCAAGTTATCATTATCCTCTGAGCATTTTTCTGCATTATTTTCAGATTCATGCTTTATTTTTTGCAAAAAGTGTATGTAATTTTAGATTGCTTGCTTCTAGTTAAAAGATCTTTATAAATTTCCTTATATGGTGCTAAGCACTTATGGAATAA